ACTTATTTGTCTATCTTCTGAAAATAATTACAAGTACATACAGTTATGTCCAATTTTTTTAAAAAGAAAGGAATGTTTAGAAAAGTAGGTAAGGTAAGTAGGGCTTAGACAGGGGAAGTAGCAAGATTAAGGCCACACAGCTGGGAAGAAACAGAGCCAAGATTCCAATCCAAGTGTGTCAGGCTACAAAGTCTGTGCTTTGTCTTGCTTTGATTTTTTGCTGTGTCTTGTACTATCTCTCTATCCAAGAACCTAATGGAAATTCCAGATATGGAGGCAGCTAGCCAGTAGTTAATAATATTTAATCCAATCTCGGATATATGGGAATAAATGTAATATAATATGTGTCTGCATCTTCTCCACTTAAGGAGTAGAAGGCATCAATTTATTGTACTTGAATTTCTTAGAACCATACAACTCTGAACCTAGAATATCCTGGAAATTATCATCTGGTCAAATAAATAGTCTTCTTTTGTATGTGTGAAAACTGAGACCATTTACGTACATTAAAAAAAATGCTATCAAGTCAATTCTGACTCATAGTGACCCACTGGTTTTATAAAGCTGTAAATCTGTACAAAAGCAGACCACCTCATCTTTTTTCCCCATGAACCACTGAACTTTTTGGTTAGCAACCAGATGCCTTAGCACTATACCACCAGAACCGTATTAGTTGGTAATTAAGAAGTATATATATAAGTGCCTAAGGCATTTGATTGCTAACCAGAAGGCTGGCGGTTGAAACTCACCAGCCACTCATCGGAAGGAAGGTTGGGCAATCTACTTCCCTAGTGATACTGCCTCAGAAACCCAAGGAGAGGTCGCTATGAGTCAGGTGTGACTCGACGGCACATAAAAAAAACGACATATATACTTTTACACTAAGTCAAGCTGCCTTGTAGCTACTTCCTTATATGACATACTATGATAAGTTATGGGAGCTCAGGTAGTGTAGTGCCTAAGGCACTTGACTACTAACCAGAAGGCTGGTGGTTCAAACCCACCAGCCACTCCTCAGACAGAAAGTTGGGCAATCTACTTCTGTAGTGATACTGCCTCAGAAACCCAAGGAGGGGTCGCTGTGAGTCGGGTCTGACTCCACGGCACATAACAACAACAACAACAACATGATAAGCTGGTTCTGCCACAGCTATTTGTATAAATTGTTTCA